CAGATTACTAAATCAGTCTGACAGCCAGTGTCTTGGGTAGATTTAGCCTGAAAAAAAATACAGGTGCTGGCCAGTAAATTAGAATATCATCAAAAGGTTGAAAATATTTCAGTAATTCCATTCAAAACGTGAAACTTGTACATTATATTCATGCAATGCACACAGACCAATGTATTTCCAATGTTCATTACATTTAAATTAGATATTCATAAGTGACAACTAATGAAAACTCCAAATTTGGTATCTCAAAAAATTAGAATATTCTGAAAAGGCTGAATATAGAAGACACCTGCTGCCACTCTAATCAGCTGATTTACTCAAAACACCTGCAAAGGCCTTTAAAAGGTCCCTCAGTCTTGTTTTGAAGGCACCACAATCATGGGGAAGACTTCTGACTTAACAGCTGTCCAAAAGACAATCATTGACACCTTGCACAAGGAGGGCAAGACACAAAAGGTGATTGCTAAAGAAGCTGGCTGTTCGCAGAGCTCTGTGTCCAAGCACATTAACAGACAGGCGAAGGGACGGAAAAAATGTGGTAGAAAAAAGTGTTAGGGATAACCGCACCCTGCAGAGAATTGTGACGACAAACCCATTCAAAAATGTGGGGGAGATCCACAAAGAGTGGACTGCAGCTGGAGTCAGCGCTTCAAGAACCACCACGAGGAGACTCATGAAAGACATGGGATTCAGGTGTCGCATTCCGTGTGTCAAGCCACTCTTGAACAAGAAACAGCGCAAGAAGCGTCTCGCCTGGGCCAAGGACAAAAAGGACTGGACTGATGCTGAGTGGTCCAAAGTTATGTTTTCTGATGAAAGCAAGTTCTGCATTTCCTTTGGAAATCAAGGACCCAGAGTCTGGAGGAAGAGCGGAGAAGCACAGAATCCACGTTGCATGAGGTCCAGTGTAAAGTTTCCACCGTCAGTGATGGTGTGGGGTGCCATGTCATCTGCCGGTGTTGGCCCACTCTGTTTCCTGAGGTCCAGGGTCAATGCAGCCGTCTACCAGGAAGTTTTAGAGCACTTCATGCTTCCTGCTGCTGACCAACTTTATGGGGATGCAGACTTCACCTTTCAACAGGACTTGGCACCTGCACACAGTGCCAAAACCACCAGCACCTGGTTCAAGGATCACGGTATCCCTGTCCTTGATTGGCCAGCAAACTCGCCTGACCTTAACCCCATAGAAAATCTATGGGGTATTGTGAAGCGGAGGATGCAATACGCTAGACCCAACAATGCAGAGGAGCTGAAGACGACTATCAGAGCAACCTGGGCTCTCATAACACCTGAGCAGTGCCACAGACTGATCGAGTCCATGCCACGCCGCATTACTGCAGTTATTGAGGCAAAAGGAGCCCCGACTAAGTATTGAGTGCTATACATGCACATTCTTTTCATGTTCATTCTTTTCAGTTGGCCAACATTAGAGAAACAAACATTTTTTCATTGGCCTTTAGAATATTCTAATTTTCTGAGATACCAGATTTGATGTTTTCATTGGTTGTCACCTATAAATATCAAAATTAAACGTAATAAACATCGGAAATACATTGGTCTGTGTGCATTGCATGAATATAATGTACAAGTTTCACGTTTTGAATGGAATTACTGAAATATTTTCAACCTTTTGATGATATTCTAATTTACTGGCCAGCACCTGTAGAAGCACATTGTTGTTGGGAGTTTATAAAGTCAGATAATATACAAAAGAAACTGTCCTATATAGGCGCTTTATGACATTCCTAGTGTGTGATCGTTATTATAACATAAAAGTCAGTCACATGTGATGTGGAGAGCCTGAAATGCAACCTCCTGAACAGAATTTCTTACAGAAACGGGTCACGCTGTGGTGTAAAGCTGGATTTCATGCTGTAATGATGTCTGTCAACTAGAGCTGTGTTAGTTAGATTCACTGTTGCAGAATTACCGACTGACACAAAAGCAACCCGAATTTTCTCCGAGCCTGACAGTAGTAGTCATGTGGACCGTTTCGTCGGCCAGGGCTTCGAGGTTTGTTCCGATTCGCCGCTGATCCCAACCTTACAGCTCGTTCCACATTTTGTGAACTTGACATATCAGCCCAAAGGCAGTGCAGACTGATATTAGCTAAATGAAATGAACCACGTCTCTCAAACATTGCATTTAGGTAGGGAATTGTCTTTAGAAGATGTTAAAATTTTTATTTAGCTTACTCACCTCAGACTGGAACCCGCCATGGTGGGGGAGCAGAGTCGGTTTGCTGCATCTAAATCGTGGAAGAGCCTCGGTGGGCACAGCCTCCCTCTTCAAACGGAGGCGTGCAGAACAATCCGGTTCAAACTCCATCATGTTGGCGAAGGAATCGCAGGTAAAATGCTGGTTGCAAACTACAGCACCAGGCGGGAGCTGACTGTTTTCCAGACACCGATTACGCACAATCACTGGCAACTAATTTCTAAGTCCAGTAGAAAGGAGTGCAACCCCACAGAGCCACCGCAACCCCACTACACTACACCTTCTCACCATACTAACACGATATGGAACACTAAACACGAACTACTTTCCTAATAACACTAACAGCTAAACACTAACTAAACTACACTATCCAACAGCCAAGCTAACACTAAATAACACTAAAAGCTATGCTAAAGATTAGGATACGCTAACGCTATGTGCTAATGCTGAACTACCGCTAACCGTCCTACACTCACTTGCAAATCCAACTCCCAACTCGCCACAAGGCGTGGCCGAGATGCTCGTTGCTTTTATAACTTTGACACAGAGCTGCTACGTAGTACTCTACTGGTTTACGTAGTATCTTTCTCTTTAGCCATTGGCTAAAGTGTATTCAAAATGACTCAAACTCTATGCTTTAAGCTGAAGGTGGCACTATGCTGTGGTATTTTTGCAGAATTTTTTTTTTATTTTTAAAGAAAGAGCACCAAAATGATAAAATAATGAATACAACATTTAAAACACTAGTGGACACTCATTTCTACAGTTTATCAGCAAAAAAAAGGTTAATTTAGACATTACTTGCTCTTTAAGTCAGTGATATCTCTTAAATATTTAGAGATTTGTTGTCATTGTAGAATAAATTCCATTTTATTTCTTAAGTAAGAAGAAAATTGCAAGAGTATGGACATTTTTTTCAATGGATGTTGATATTAGTGGAAAATTATTTCTAAATAAACATAAATGGATCTAAAATATTACTGGTACTTTTATTATCACTCGGTTGTGGAAATTCAGTTGAAATTTTGTATGAAAACACTGATAGACTGGTTAAACCTGCAAATTTTATTGAATTTGACTTACATTTTAAAACAGGATTTCACTGTTTAAAAATTATTACAGCTTAAGTTACTCAGAGCCACTGTAGAAAAGTCTGAGTTCACTTGAAACTGTGTGATAGTATAAAGCTTTTGCTGTTTAAGTTTAATTCAAATAGACCTGAAATATATAATAATAACAATAATTATATGTAACAGTGATATTGAAAGGCAGGATAAAAATTTTCACCTATTTCTGTTTTTCATTTCGTTGCATTGGAATTTCATGTTGTCCCACATTTGGCAAGTTTGTCCGGTCCTTATGTCGGTTGTGTCCCCCTCACCTCTAAAGTAAAACAAATATATCTCACTCCAAGACTTTTGTAAAAGTTGGCAGCCCTGCTGCTGGTAACGGAAGGCTCAGGGCGGAAAACAGACTAATGTTAAAATAAAATGTGAATAAGGACAAAATTGGACATTATGGACCACATGCTCACGTGCTCGGTTTGTTCATTAATGTGAGTTTTATTAGTTTGAGCCATTTGATAATTGACTTCATATGTAAAACTCAGATTTTTTTCAGCTGACATCACTGATGATAAAAATGTGATAATATTCACACGGATAAACATTTTTTCAACTAATTGCTGTTTCAAAAGAAGGTCTATGGGCCTCTAGTCTCTAGCCTACCCCTAAATTTTGGGAACATGCGCAGGCAGAGCAAGAGACATTATCAAAGTCCTTTTAAAAGGGAGTGTGTCAAGTTGGACAGCTATTATACATCTGCAACAGGAAATGTTCACTTTATTTCAGCAAAAAATACTTGTGTGCTTAAAATGTCAGTACTTATAGCTAAGAAACGATAACATACGATTTTTTTTATTTAGACATGCTGCGATTTTAGATTTAATGGATTTTAACTTTTGACATTGGATGATTTTGTGCTCAATTCATATTTCTTGATTAGTTAGTGAATCAATATAACTCTTGGCAACTGATGCAAGTGTGTTGTGGTATGAAGCATAGTGCCAAAGGCTTTGGTAATTTTATTTTTGTAGCAATTTTAACAAAGCTCTACAACACACTTCAACAAGGTAACCCAACAAGATTTTTTATTCCTACTCAATACGACACAAAAAATAAATCTAAAAATTGCATACAAAAGTACAACATGTTGAGTAAAATAAAATGATATGACATATATCTTGGTGATGACATGTTCATTCTTGATATTTGAATAAGTTAATTTTTCTTTACCATGTTATATTAGGTGACACACTTTATGTGTTTTAATATGGCATGCAGTGACTATTAAATTGCATATAAAATGAAATGTGCATGAACAGGAAAAAAGACTATAATGAAACAATCAAAAATTTATGGCGTGCATTCAAAAAAATTTAATCCCTCTGCAAAATGCTTTTAACTAGAAAATATTTCAAAGTGATGGAAACGAGCAAATGAAACGAGCTATGTTATTTACACATTTTATACGTTTGTTTTTGTTTTACATTTAGGCTAGGTTCAATGAAATTTATCATTGGTTGATCAATCTTCAAACTATTAGGCACATTAAGTTTTTGCCAAAGTGCATGATTAATTGTATGAAATGGTATTTTAATGCTTTTTCTTTTGGGGTGTTCTTGTTAATTATATATTTTAATGGTAACTCAGGTGTTTTGAATTCAAAGTTTATCGTCTTTTATTTTGAAATGTTTCTCCGGAAGCGGCTACATGCGTCATTTCGTTTGCTGTCGCTCGAGTACTGTAGTAAGTCGCAACAAGGTAACTTCCTCAACCAATCCTGGCTTTTTGCCTTCGAAACGCCGCCGCCAGACCAGACTGGCGAACCTCCCGTAAACGTTACAAAATGAGTCTTCAGTTTCGTTCTCTTCGCAGCAAGTGAAGTTGGTCACTTCTTTTTATTCCCCAAACCAGCGACAGACAGACGATAATGTTGGCGTCATGAAGACTCCGCTTTCCAGACTTTGGAAAACAAGTCGGATTTTGTCGGATGACTCTCGGGAGCTGCGCCTGTTAGCGAACCCTCGTCGCAAAGCACTTTGAAAAATCACCCGCAGGTAAGTTTTTACCGAAGCCTAAATGCGTTTTGAGAAGAGGGTAACGACTGTGCGTAAAAATAATATGACGTGGAAAAGTTTGCTGATGGTTTCTCTCAATAATCCATGTGTCCTCCTAGCTTTGCTTTTTTTCCACCCCTGTGATATTTTATGATTCTCGTTACATTTATGCTGCTTTTATTTACGCACCTTTCTCCTAGGCTACAGCTACATCTCCTCTGGTGACAAATAGTGATGATAATCGTCAGTAAAAAAGACTAAATTCGTGGTTTCAAACAGCCAGACATCGGGATTTTCGTTATTTCCCCTCCCGTCTGATCAGACCCACGACATCGCATCTAGACGTGACTAGTTAGGAGTTTTTGTCGTGCAAACCGCCTTTCGGTAGGCTCGTTTTTGTTAGATGGTGTTGTCCCGTCATTGCACGTTGGGCATCATTAACATCACAATCTCGATGCAGCGGGAGGGGAGGGCAGAAATCACAGCGTGGTGCTTCTCTGGTCTGTGGGTTAGTTTTCAGCCACTCTGCATTAGAGAAACGCTAAAAGACAGGCCCCTGTGTTAAAAAAAGAGAAGTTTTTGACGGGCTTTAACCCTGGGGAGGGATATTCACACCTAACAGGATGCATGCTAATGCGAAGCTGATGAGAATGTGCAAACTTCATTACCAGGGTGTTAAAAAGCTGGCTGAATATGCTGAAGATTCAACCGCAGGACAAGAGATCTGCTTCTTCACCCCCAACATTTGATGCTTGTTCTTCAATAATCCTTGAAATAAAGTGAACTGGCACCATTGGTTCCTCTGTGATTGGAGCCAACACCTGATTAATTTTGTGATGCTTTCAAGGTGACACCTGAATGAACTGTTTGATCTCATTTAAATGTGACAATAGTTTTCTGTGAGAGAGAATATCTTATCTGCGTGGATTAGAGTCAATTAGCAGACCAGACGATGTTGATAATCATCACAAAGACGCAGAGTTTATTTATTCCTTTTCCAGTTTAGATTCAAAGATGAGGATGTTGATGTCTGTGTCTGTGTTGAGTGGCACTTGGTGGCTGTGTATTTGTGTGGTCTGGAGAATGTTACTCCATCGCTGACCAGTTTCTGAGCGTTGTCTTCTTTGTGGGTGTCGGGCACTCCCAGGGAGGCAGACTGGTCAGATAAAAGGACGTCAGGCAGTCTGGGGTGGTAGGTTTCAGTCCAGAAGCTCTTAGGAACCTTGTTCTAGAGCTTTTCACCTCCAGATTTCCAACTCATTCAAAGTTTCTTTATTAAACAAATTAATCTCCTGCAGTAAAACTGGTCGATGAATGGCTAAAACATTTTCAGACTTTGTTTCCTGCATTACATTTTTGAAATAACTGGCATAACTTTCAGTTTTAATGGCAATTTTAGTCAAATGTGATTTATTTTGCTCTGTTACCCGGTCAGGTTGAGTTGTGAGTTTGAGGAAGCCGATTCATGAGTGGTGCTCGAGAACTACTCAACACAAACGTAGTGTGTAGTCCAGCCTGGCCACAAGGTAAGAGCAGAAAGTGTTTATATGACTGCGATAGTGATGATATACTATGATGTAATTATAGCTGCCCTGAAGCGGGCAGCTATTTTGCGCTATCGGCCCCTCTGACCACCACCAGCATAGGCAAGTTAGGTGAAGTGTCTTGGTCAAAGACACAGCAGAATTCCCTGGAAGGAGCTGGGATTGGTCGGGCAGCCCTTAAATGGCCAAGCTGCTTTCCTACTGAGCTACTGCTGCCCTGGTGGCGGTTACTGGTGGAGACTACCTGTGGTGGTAGTACCAGGTTTTAAGCACACTTAGTATCTGCCAGTGATGCACCAATATGAAAATTTTGGCCTTATATCCAATATTAAAATCAATGTTATGGCTGATAACCGATATTTGCAGCTATCAATATGCTGACATTAACGCTTCTAAAATCAGCAATTTTGTATAGAATGAAAATGATTAAAGCTGAATTTACATTATTTATGTACACACACATTTACGGTTCTGAGATGATTACATTCACTGTTCACATGACTTAAAAATTGCACACCTCCCACCACCGTCTGAAACAGTCAAACAAATGGAGACAAGACGGAAAAAATATCGGTTGTTAATATCGGCCCGCTTTTATTTGTTGGACTGATATCGAAATGTTAAAATTGATAAGATCAGCTGATGCCGATTTTGATGCCGATATATTGTCCATCCCTAGTTCCTGCATTTTTTTAAAATTCATAACTATCATTTTAAAGATTACAGGATTGTCGGGTAACAGGTTTGCTGTTTAAATGAAACGCCGTCTAATCTTCAGTTCAGAAACTTAAGGAGACTATGTGTAGTTTTTGCCATTCATTTCTGGAAATATTCATCAAAATGTTGTTGAAAATGAATTAAATGATGCCCAGTTGTTGAAAAATATTGGCGGCTTTGTAACATTTAACCATAAAAATCGGATCTAAAATACATAGGAGGGGGTCTAAGTCTCAGGGCGACGCCATATTAGATGCCATGTTTCCTTCCATGGGAGCCCATGAAGACAGAATGCACTTACTGATTTGTAACAAACGGGCACAAATTTTTCATCATTGTTAAATGTTGCTGTTTTACACATTTACCTGTTCATTTGTTGCCAGTGATGAAAGGGAGTCTGATGTGCTTGTTATTTAGCTAAAGTTTGCACTTCCCAGGGCTTCTTGACCCTAATTGGCATCTGTTGGTAAGGTCTTACTCCAACACAAAAATACAGCTTGCTTGCAACGATTTAGGTATCTGCCGCCCCCTATCACCAGGGAAAATACACACTGTCACTTTAAGAAAGCCTACAGAATAGTTAGAAAATGCAAAGACCACCCCAGAACTTTAGTGTTATTGGTGATGTAAGAAAATATCGATACGCTGAAACATAACAATATTTCTTGTTATGATACTGAATATATTGTTAAAGTCAGTGTATTGATTTTTTCATTGAGAATTTACATGTGAACATCTGTTTCTTTTGTGTGGTGCAATTCAAAGTCCGACTGCTAGGTGGCAGCAGATTTTACCGTCTTCAGTCTTGACGCCACGAGATCTCACGTTGACACTGGATGTGTCCTGAAAGTGTCTGGCCCAAGTTTTACAATTAAATTGAGTCCTAAATATAGCAAATATTGCCTGGTTTTAGTATCGTAATACATCATATCATCTCCTCTGTATTGTGATATATTTATAATATCGCCAGATTCTTCTCAGTACACACTTTTGAGTGTTATACTTCAAAATATCAATGATATATTCATGAAGCGGTGATTTACTACTTCCTGTCTATGGAACTCATGAATATCCATGTCATCTCCAAGAGGTTTGGTCAAATATTTCTAGCCAATATTTATACTTTTTTAGACTAGAGTTGTACAACCTGATTGGAAGTCAGGTTCCAGTTCACGACTGGTTGTGATGGACGGTTTTGACTACATCATTGAAAGTATAATCTAAAGTTTTCAAGTCCTGGAGGCTTCACACCCCAGGAGCGACCTGCAGCAGGGTTTCCGCTCTCCTCAGAAATCCTCATTTTAAACCTTAAACACAGGGGTGAATTTATTTAATGGAATTGGCTTCAAACTGCAACCTTTAACATATTTTTCATGAAAAAAAAAATCAATGTAGTGTTTGAACTTGGGGGTAAGCCTGGTTTATGCTTCTCCGTCAGCTCCGCAAGGGACAGACACGCACGGATTGACGGAAGCGTTTTGCTCTTGTACATCTCCGTCTCCTGGAGAGTGTTGCAAAGCAATTGCCCGGCAGGACAACAGAGGGTGTAGCGCTGTTCTGTGGTATCCTGTCATGTATCGGTCCAAGATAGTGTGTTTATATTGTGTTTTTTGTGTTTATAAGAGACTTTTAACACGGACATATTTGTCTCTCATTCTCCTCCACCTCTTCATGCGCTCCCCACCTCTAAACCCACGTTTCCTGTCATTTCCGTCCACAAATAAAACGCTTGCTGCGCATCTTTTCACTCCTCCAGTCACGGGAGAATTAAACGTTCATATTTTTAGAGTTTTTTTCGCGAGGTATTCTTCAAGCTTCTCCGTGTCTGCCGCTAGTTATCTTCGGCTCTCTTTGCAATGGCGGCGCTGTAAACAACAGCGGCATCCTGACCAATCACAAGCTTGCGTAATCTGTCTCGTTCGACGGATGTTTAAAAAAGTGGGCTCGACTCCGTACGTACTTGCGTGCCCTACGCAAGGACGGATAATGGCGTTGCGTGTCTCCGCACTGACGCAGACGGAGAAGCATAAATCAGGCTGTAAAACGTAAACCTGGGTTGTATTTCCTGACGACGTTTGCGGCTGTAGCATTAGTAAAGTACTTGGAGGGTATTCGTTTTACAAGTAAGAACAAACTGTGCCCTTGGAGGATTTCTGGATGGAAAACATATTCCAAATTAGCTCCAGGAGACTGATTTAGTAGTTCAAATTGGCTTATGATTGACAAATCGGTCATGCAGTCTCTTAGAGTTTAGTCTAGAAACCACACGGAGTGTCGGGTAAAAAATATATTAGATAGAGGTGCTGAAAAAATTGATTCAAGTCTGAATCGGGATTCTTATTTATAAAGATTCAGAATCGATTCACAAAGGTTCAGAATCGATTCCAAGAACTCCAATATTTGGCATGTTACAGGTTTGAGACGCACTTTGTTGATCTTTGCTAGGAGAGTCAGTACTCCGTTTACTTCTGTGGTCCCATAAATTGAGATGGTTTGTGTTTGAATCTGCTGATAAGAGGGCACTTGAATGTAATTTTTTTCCATACTCAGAAATTTGAGATATTCTCTTTTTTTTTTCTAAGTTGATAAATGAGTACTCAGGATTACTCATGTAACTTGTTTCTACACATACTTGAAAAGTATTTGACCGTATTACTTTCAAATCCACTGTTAGGTAACTACAAATTTGTTATATATTACAAGGTAAGCAAAAATAAATGTTGCCTTTTGGTAGAGCTG